GCCAACAAACTGAAGCTGTGAACAATCTCAATCTCTTCACCATCCATCCTGATGCTGCCAATTGGTCCAGTGGTGAGAATCTTTGTCTTCTTGATAGAAAGTCTGCCTTGCCTGGCATCACCCTCACGATATCAGCTATGTCCGGGCTCACTGTTGTGTCAGCTTGTTTGCTGAAGGCTCCTTTTTCTCCTCTCATGCTCCGCCTCTTTCAATGACTGGCCTACCCTGATAACAACCCCGAGGCCTGTGAAGGAAGCCTCACTACCTCTACCTGTAAGGAGCAGAAATATTCATTCCCAAGACAAATGTGTTTCTTAAAACAATCAACTCTATGAGATTAAAATAATTCTTTTTTTTTCAAAAGCAAAGATGAGATAACAGGAAATAGTAGAGAATCTATAGGAAAATCCAGGGTGGATAGGGTGAGTGTTGAACATTGTGGAGAATGTAACCCACATCTTAGAACACATTACAGGCATAAATGGGAGGGGGGGAAATGCTCTGCAAATTTTTACTTGAAAAATAGTCTTTTATAAAAAGAGAAAATCTATAATGCTTTTATATAGGTTATTCCATCATTTATAGACCTCCAACTATGCCCGGACCCAAATCCCATTATGATGGTCATTTAACAAGTCTGTTTGAGGGAGCTCTGGTGGCCTAGTGGCAAGAATCTGTGTTACAATCCCTGAGGTGTGCAGTTCGAATCCACCAGATGCTTTGCTGGAGAAGGAGGGGCAATCTCCTCCTGTACTAGTCAGATCTGATTTGATGGTACACACACACAAAAATAATCAAATAAAATAAAAATTTAAAAAATAAGTCTGTTTGACATTTCTTACCAATATCGTGTTCCGGATATTCATGTTTTCCTGGAGAATCAGCAATATCATCCCATACAGTCAATACCACTTCCTGAAGTAGATGAGTAATCTTTCGTGCAATATCTTGAGTTTCATTGTTCCATGCATTTTTCTTTAAACGAAATAAAGATAATTAAGTAAGAACTCAGTCAAATTTAAGAAGGTTGGGTCAAGAGTAAGGGTGACTGGGTGAGTTTAGACAATACTGTTGTGGATCACAATGGTTCGTATTGTGCCTGAACTCACCGTGAGTCAAGGTGATTAGACGGCCGTTAACAACAGGTTCCGTGTTATCAGCTGAATACATAGCTTGTCATTTATCACACAAACTGTATGTCATTTGTAGCACTTTATGAAATCATGAAGTTTTACAGGGGAGTGCTCCAAAACCAACAGGAATTGATTTATGGAAAAAGAGAACAGAAGGATCTGCGGGGAATAGGACTGTAAGTATTTGATGCAGATCTTCATAGAACAGCTCATCATTTTCATTCTATTCCTAAGTTTCTCAATATTGACACTTGACATTTGGGATTGGAAAATGTTTAGTTGTGCAAAGCAGTTCTGGCCATTGTACGATGTTGAGCAACTCCTCTGTGTTGTACCTACTAGTTTCATACACTGGGATAGAGCCCTCTGATTGGAAGACACTGAAAAATGAAGAACAGCCAGAAACATCAGCTAATGATTAGAACATGGAATGTACAAAGTATAAATATAGGAAAATTTGCCATTGCCAAAGACTAAATGGAACACAGAAGATTTATAGACTAGAGATTGGTGAGCTAAGATGGACTGCCATTGGTCACTTTGAACTAGACAATCATGGTTTACTATACCTGGGATGAAAAGTTGAAGAAGAATGGTATTGCATTCATGGTTAAAAGGACTATTTTACAATCTATCCTTAAGCACAATGCTCTAAGAGTTCTATTCATGCACATTAGAGGAAGGCCTGTTAACACCACTATTACTCAAATATACACACCTACAGCTAAAGCTAGAGAGGAGGAAATGAAGGACATCTGCCAACTTTTGCAATTCTGAAATTGACCAAACATGCAAAGATGCATTAAAATAATTTGTGCCTGAAAAGAAAAAGTTGGAAACAATGAAGAGCAAATAGTAGTTGGAAAACACAGACATGAGTTTGGACAACAAATGATTTAACTTTGGACATTAAATTATTTACCCATTGCAGATACATTTTTTTTAAAGAAACACAAAATGGGACCTCTGGTGGCCTAGTGGCAAGAAGCTGCACTGCAATCTCGAAGGCAAGCAGTTTGAATCCACCAGATGGTTCACTAGAGAAGGAGGGAAAATCTCCTCCTGTGCCAGCTGGAACTGATTCCACAGCACATAAGAAATAAATGAAATAATTTTTTTTAAAAAAAGAAATAAACACAAAATAGTGACAAAATATGTGGACCTTATCCGATGGAGTGCAGTGTATCAGATTGACTTAATCTGTGGGATGAATCATTGGGGAAGCTCAATATCAGTAGTCAAAACCCAGCCAGGTGCTGAATGTGGAACATTGAGGTGCAAGTTCAAACTAAAGCTGAAGAAGACTAAAACACATTTGTTGTTCAACAGCCCTAAACCCTGCTCTATCCTGTGCTCTATCCTCTGACACACCCATCCCGATTACCCCAGTCACTGAATCAATCCACCTCATAGAGGGTCTTCCCCTCCTGCGTTGTCCCTCTACTCTACCCAGCATGATGTCCCTCTCCAAAAACCTGTCTCTCCTTGCAACATGTCCAAAGTATG